GCACCGCAGATTCCAGCTCTGGAAGAGTCCAGTGCAGGGGAAGAGGAGTCTCATAGAAGGCTGGGAGTGTGGTGTCTGAATCCACTCGTTCGTTCGTGCATGTTCCTGAATGTTCCCGGGGACTGAGTCTACAGCCTCATGAAGCTAAGCAAGTCTTTTATAACCCTAGGTTTATTTTTACTTAAAAATATTTTTTTCTATTTCTCCTAGAGAGATGGCTTTGTGTTTGCTGCCTTTGCAGAGGACCCGAGTTTAGTTCCCAGCACCTGCATGACAGACAGCTCACAACCATCAGTAACTCCAGTTCCAGGAATCTAATATCCTCCTCTGGGCTGCACTAGGATCAGACACAAATATGATGCACATGTTTACATGCAGGCAAAACATACATGTACATAAAATTAATTTTACATAAATCAATCTTTAAAAAATTTTACATATCATTTAAAAGTTTTTAAATACTTATTTTATTTTTATGTGTACCACAAAATGTGCCTGGTGCCCGCAGAAGTCAGAAGTGTCAGATCCCCTAGAACTGGAATTCTGCATGGCTGTGAACCACAAAGTAGGTGCTGGGAACCAAACTCAGATCCTCTTAACGGCGGAACTATCTCTCCAACCCCAAACTTTAAAGTATATTGTGTTTATCCTGCATATGTTTTGTTCACTACATTCCTGCGGGACCCAAGAAGACCAGAAGAGGGTGTCAGATCACGGGAAACTGGAGTTGCAGTTGCAAGCTGTCATGGTGGTGCTGAGAATTGAAAGCTAGGGCCTCTGCAAGAGCAGCAAGTGTTCTGAACTGCTGAGCCACCTCTCAGCCTCCTGTTTTTAATTATGTTTATGTATGTTGGCCGTTATGTGCATATGAGATGAGAAGAGGGCATGGGATCTAGAGTTAGAAGCAGTTGTCAGTCACTTGAGTATGGGTGCTGAGACCCAAACCAAAGCCATTGCCAAGAAGAGCACTCTAAGCCACATTTCCAGCCTGTGGTACACTGCCCTGTACATGTGGAGTCATAGTTTGACACTAGGCATTTCTGTCTCTTATTTTTTGAAATAGGATCTCTCACTGAGCCTGGAGATGGTGAATTCAGCTGGAGTAGCTGCTGGCTGGAGCTGCCAGAGCTGGAATTACACGTCACCACCACCATACTTGTGCTTTTCCTCGGGTCCTACCTACCTACACACACACACACACACACACACACACACACACACACACACACACACACACACACACACGTCTGCCATCTTATGGCAGAAGTCAATATTCCAGTTGTTCCATTTCTTCGACTTTGCTACATTTTGGATCTTTTAATTTCCCAGTGAAGTTTGGGGATTCAGGATTCATTCCTAAGAATTCAGGACACACTATTTTATGAGCAAAACCCGGGTTTCTGGGAACTGCACTTTTCGGGGAGTGGTTGTTGGGGCCGGTAAGATGGCGCTGCTTCATCTTAACTCAAGGTCAGAGTTCAAACTGTCCCTAGTAAGTCATAAGATCTAAAGGTCTAAGGCATGGCTACAGTAGGATGTGTGATCTTGGCCCTAGGTGTATTATCTAAATAACAGATTTAGTATGCAGTGTGGTTACTCTTGACCCTCTGATGGGGATCGCCCTTCTGTTTGTTTCTCTTATTGGTTGATGAATAAAACACTGATTGACTGGCAAGGCAGAAGTATAGGTAGGGCTAGAAGATGAGACTTCTGGGAAATGTAGGCAGACAGAGTCATCACGTAGAGCCCAGTAAGAGGACACACAAGGCATTCTCCAGTAAGCCAAGACCATGTGGAAATACATAGATTAATAGAAATGGGTTAATAATTAAGACAGTCGGCTGGACCAACAGCCTCCAAAACAATACAGAGAAACCGAAAAATAAATAAGACAGTCAATAAAAAGACCAAGCCACCGGCCAACCGTTTTATAATTAATGTAAGTCTTGTGTGTTTATTTGGGGCTCTCAAGGGCAGCAGGACCCTGCCAGGACAAAGAACCTCTCCTTACAACCCTGAAAGCCAGGTAACAAGAAGGTGACTATAATGTGTGGTTACTGAATCCTTGGAGAACTGAGGAAAAAAGTCTGTTTGTTCCGTATACACAATACCATGTTCCCCTTTTTGCTTGGGGTATTTCAGAATGGTGAAGAATAAACTCGGGGCATCCAGTAGTCACTAAATTGCCCTCCTGACTCTTATCGTGTATCTGTCTTTCTCCTAGCATCTTTATCTGCCCTTTCTCAATCCACACTCCCCCTCATGTACAAACCAGGAGCAAGGTGGCTGGATCTGACTGTACCCACACAAAGCCAGGTTCCCACAAGTGGTAGTGTTTATTTTTGATGTGTCTCTGTAGTTGAGGATGGCCTTGAATTTAGGACCTCCCGCCACTGAAGTGTTGGGATTACAGGCACCAGCCATCACACCTAATTAGCACGAAGAGCTCTTTTATATGCCACGGCCCAGCCACATTTGTTTCCTTTTAGTGGGATTTTGTTTACTTGAGTCAGTCTGTGTAGCTCAGGCTGACCCTTATTTACTACGTATCCCAGGCTGGCCTGGAACTCCCAACCGTCCTGTCCCAGCCCCTTGAATTTAGGGATTGTGGCCATGCACTGTCATGGCAGGCTGGAACTATTATTACTCAGTAATAATTTGATGCTGCTTCTGGGCACCAATGTGCTTGAGTGGGGAGTCCCATGAGGAGGCTGGTGTGAACATTCTGGAAACAGCTGAAGGGAGGCGGTACAGGAGCTCTGCTGAAGCTGGGGGAGAGGATGACAGAGCGAGATCCTTAGCAAAAAAGAAACACATCAGAGCATTAAAGCCCATTCTCTTTTGCTTTATTGGTCAGAGGAATGAAATGCTACTTGTGTAAGCCAATGGGAAACGCTTTCAGGAACAAGGTAGCATCAATTAACAAGCCATTGTTTAAGGGACATGACTCAATCCCAGGTCCCAGACACTTGGGAACAGTTGGGGCTTGGTGTCTCAGGTTTGATGAGGACAAGAGCCTGGAAGCACTTATTGTACACTAAAGAAGATGCCTGAATAGTATTTTATGGAAATCATTAAGAAACGTACAGGACTGGAGATGTAACTCTTCTGGCACAGTGCTTGTCCAGGAGTCCTTGGGTTTTATCCCTGCAACACAACCCAGGTGTGGTAGTGCACACTTGTAGTCCCAGAACCTCAGAGACAGAGGCAGGATAACAGATTCAAGGTCATCCTCATGAATGTAACATGGGCTACATAAGAACCTCTCTCAAAAAAATTAACCAAAGTAATAAAAGTAAATGGCAGCTTGGCCTTAGCGCTATCTTCCTTGGGACTCCTGCGAATGCGCAGGAGAAGGAAGATGAGGCAGAGGCCCAGTAAACTGGCTGGTCCACCCATCGAGGCCAAGGCGGGGCGGGATGCTGGTAGCAGCTGTTGGACTGTTTGCTACTGTGGGGTGTAAGTCTCAATGGACCTGGAACCTCACATCTGCTCGCAGAGACACCACCTCCAAGACTTGCCTGCCTTCCTTACAACCCACAGTCCTGCTGGTCCTTGGCCCTGGACCTGCGGAGTTCTGGACTCTTCTGTTCTCGCTTGTGGCCAAGTGTAACCCATGTACAATAAACCATCTTTCTCGCTGTATGGCAACTGGGCAGTGATGGTGCACACCTTCAATCTCAGCACTTGGGAAACAGAGGCAGGTGTATCTTTTGTGAGTTCAAGGTCATCTGGTCTACAGAGCGAGTTCACACCTGTTATCAGCAAGAGTACTGAGAGCTATGCAGAGCCAAGCATGTGCTATAGGGTGAAGCCTAGAGCAGAAAGGTGAGCTGCCACACCCTATTGGTGATCCTAGCCAAAGCTACTTCTCCCTGAGCCAACTACACACCGGGGAACCAGGGAAGGATGAGTGATGCTTCCAGGGTAGCTGGGACATCCTAACCTCAAGAAAGAGCCCTCCCTGCTCCCCAGACTGGAATATACCTTTAATCCCAGCAACCAGGAGCAGAGGCAGATCTCTGAGTTTGAGGTCAGCCTGTTCTACAGAGCAAGTTCCAGGACAGGACAGCTAAGGGTACATAGAAAAACCCTGTTTTGTTTTGTTTTGTTTTGTTGGTTTTTTGAGACAGGGTTTCTCTGTATTGTTTTGGAGGCTGTCCTGGAACTTGCTCTGTAGACCATGCTGGCCTCGAACTCATAGAGATCCGCCTGCCTCTGCCTCCCAAGTGCTGGGATTAAAGGCATGCACCACCAACGCCTGGCGAAAAACCCTGTCTTGAGAGGAAAACAAAGACACAAAAAACAAAGAAAGTGGGGCTGGAGGGATGGCTTACTAGTTAAGAGCACTAAATGCTCTTTCAAATTCCCAGCACTCACATGGAAGCTCACAACTGTGATTCTAGTTCCAATACATATAAGATAAAAAGAAAGAGCCCCTAGACAGACAGTAGCAACGTGCACCTTTAATCCCTGTACTCGGGAGGCAGAGGCGGGTGGATCTCTGTGAGCTTGAGGCCAGCCTGGTCCATAGAGTAAGTTCCAGGACAGCCAAGGGTACACATCAAAAACCTTATCTGGAAACCCAAAAGAGCCCCCATTTTTTACCGTATTCAACAAGGTGCAGTGTACTGGGCGGTTCCTAGTTATCCCACTGATGCTATGGTTACTTTTGTCTTGTTGAGAAGGGTCGTACACGGTACCCCAGGTTGGCTATAAAAACCAAATTGGCCTTGAACTTGCAGCTATCCCCTAGCTCCTACCTTCCTAGAGTTAGGGTCACAGCTAAGAGCCACCAGATTCAAACTCTAGTTCCCAGAGCCACCTCCCTGACCTTTCCTGGCTCTGCTTCTCTTTCTGTCATGGGATCGCACTAAGCCGCCCCACATATACCGAATCACCAGGCCCACCTCCACTCCCTATGTTACTTCTACTGAGAAACAAGACATCCAACTACAGTCAAGCTTGGGGCCAGGAAAAAGACAGACAGACCACAGATCTCAGATGAAAACAAAAATCCGTAACAAAATCCTTTTAAAAAAAAGAATCCTTCAGTATCCCCCATACCCCAGCGTCCCTCCCAGGCAACCAGGTCATGTGAGTGTGATTCCCACGGAGGCCAGTGCTTCAACGGCCCAGGCAGGACAGAGGCTGTGGTCACCATACATGGTGCGCATGAAGTTTCGCACAAAGTCAGGGAAGCGCTGCTCCAAGATGCTGCTTCTAAGGGAGCTCAGGAGCTGCAGCTGCGGGGGAAGGTGTCTCATCAGCTTGGGCCTAGACCACCAGTGGTCCCAGCATCACCCACAAGGCACCAGGCATGCAAAGAGTCGCCCCACATCACAAACCCAAGGCAAAGGGAGACAGGTCATGCTCAAGGGTCCTGCCCATGCCACACCCCTAGATAAGGCACACCCACAAGGCCTTTAGGGCCCAGGCTCGTTACACCCCCAAAAGGGGGAGCCCCACTTGTACCACAGACCCACACCACACCCATGCTAGGCTCGCATCACAGCCTCAACCCACCCTGACCTCAGAGCCAAGACCCTTCGTTCTCTGGCCCAGGCCCTGAGACCCCACCCTAACCCACGACCAGGCCACCTGATAAGCGATGTTGTGCACAGTGAGATGGTGCAGCGCTGCGGTGTTGTCACTGTGCAGGAGGGCATGAAGGAAGGCGCGGCTGTGCCTGCAGATCACATGGTTAGTGGCTATACACAGCCTGAGGCCCCTCCCCCTCCCACCCCCAACTTGTAAGGCCTACTGTTGGCAAGTGGGACAGGGGCATCCCGAGTCGATGGGACTGAAGTCCTTGGCATACTGCTTCTTCTTCAGCTGCAGGTTCCCAGTGGGCACCAGAGCAGAGCCAAAGCGCTGGGGACACGGAGGTCAACGTCACGAGGGGCATGGGCTCCCGGCCCCTCCCGGCCCCTGCCCAGGCCCGGGCCTCACCGCTGTCCGTGTGGGGTATACACAGTCGAACATGTCACATCCAAGAGCCACGCAGACCACCAAGTCAGTGGCATAGCTGGGTTGCGCCATGGGAGGGCGAGGAGCAGACAGTCAGTCTCAAGAGAGGTTTCTCAGGCCTCCCTCTGCCCCTGACTGGACCTCAGATGACAAACAAGAGTTCTCCTTTATCTACTTTTGTAGAGACTGGGTTGTAGCCCAGGCTGGCCTCTTACTCCCTACATAGCTGAGGATACCCCAGAACATTGTTTACATCAGGTAGTAGCCTAAATGACCACTTTATTAGCTTCCCAGTAACTCTATACCCTTATTCCCAAAAGGATCCAGCAAAAGGGCATGGGAATCCCGGGATCTGTTCCCCACAATGACATACCCAACCCCCATCAGGTATCTTGGCTTGTCCTTAGGCAGCATGGAGGTACTTAATGCCACCATCTTCCAGAACTGTTCCTTGCTCTCTCCCCCACTCAGACCTCCGATGGCAAAGCCTGGCACATCCCTCTTGGTCATCTCTGAAAGAACAGATGGCCCCAGCTTAGGAGGAGTTAGGGTTTGGTGCCTTTACTAAAGGTCAGAGTGTACTCTAGTCTCAAGGTGGTATTTCCCTAAGTGCAGCATTTCACTAATCATAAAACCACCTGGATAAGCCTGGCGGTGGTGGTGCACGCCTTTAATCCCAGCACTTGGAAGGTAGAGGCGGGCGGATCTCTGTGAGTTTGAGGCCAGCTTGGTCTACAGAGAGAGTTCTAGGACAGCCTCCAAAGTCACAGAGAAACCCTGTCTCAACATAGATAGATAGATAGATAGATAGATAGATAGATAGATAGATAGATAGATAGATAGATAGAGCAATAACAACCACATCTGGATACTCTCAGGAGACTGAGACTGGAGGATCAAGCGTTTACCATTGCCCTCTTCTGGCCTTCTTGGGCCCTGTATACATGCGGTATACACACATGCAGGAAAATACTCATACACTTAAAATAAAAATAACTTGCCAAGCCGGGCGGTGGTGGCGCAAGCCTTTAATCCCAGCACTCGGGAGGCAGAGGCAGGCGGATCTCTGTGAGTTCGAGGCCGGGCTGGACCGACAGCCTCCAAAACAATACAGAGAAACCCTGTCTCGTAAAACCAAAAAATAAAATAAATAACTTGCCAAGCATGCTGGCACATGCCTTTAAACAGCAGGGCAGCCAGAGCTGCTACGTGACAGACTGTCTCAAAAATTAAATAATTAAGGGGCTGGAGAGATGGCTCAGAGGTTAAGAGCACTGCTTGCTCTTCCAGACATCCTGAGCTCAATTCCCAGCAACCACATGGTGGCTCACAACCATCTGTAGTGAGATCTGGTGCCCTCTTCTGGCCTGCAGGCATACATGGAGGCAGGGTGTTGCATTCATAATAAATAAATAAATCTGTTTTTAAAAAATTAAATAATTATTTTAAAAAAATTTTAAGAAACAAAAACTAGAAATAGGAAAGAAGTAAAGGGGGTGATGGTAATGGTTTCAGCTTTATAACCTCAGCAGTTTAATGTAGTAAACCCACTGTGGGCAAGGATGTAGCTCAGCGGTAGGGTGTTTGCTCACCAGGGGCGAGTGAGGCACTTGGTCCCATCAGGCACATCATCTGAGTTTGGTGATGCATGCCAGTGATTTCAGCAGAGGAGGCAGGAGGATAACTACACGACTATCCTCTGCTACAAGGATAGTCCTGGCCAGCCTGAGCTACATGAAAGTCTGTCTGAAGTCAACGTAATATTTCAACAAAGTGTGTGAAAAGGGCCAGCAAGACGGTTCAGCAAGCAAAGGCACTTGCTGTCAGGTCTGATGACCTGAGTTCTGTCCCCAGAATCTACATGGTGGACAGAACTGACTCCCAAAGTTGTCCTTTTACTTCCAGTTTCTAGACCCGCCTGCTGCACACTGACTCGCGCATCTTACACTTGTAAGTTAACATCATCCTCCGCCTGGACCAGCCCACCTCCTCCAGTTCCTGACTCTACCTTTCAGGCAAGTGGTGCGGAGATCGGCATTCAGTCCACCCTGGATGATGGCAAAGAGGTTCTGCTTGTCCCGATGCTGATGGGCTGCAATGCACCTGTCTAGCCAGCGGACTGACCTGTAAGAGGGTCAGGTCACAGAACTGCGTGACTAGGGAGGCGGAAGGGAGCCACGGGGCCCAAACCCTTCTCCCACGGACAACAACCCACACATACAGACCTGTGCATAGCCTCCTCCACTCGAGGGCCTGTCACTGTGCTGCTCACGACATCATCCAACTGCATGATGATGTCAGAGCCTGAGGGAGAGAGGGCACTCTGGTGAGGGGCAGGAAGACACAGAGGGCTCTGCAGGCACCACCACCTCCTCGTCATCATCCTAATGTGGCTGCGCAGAAGCTAGGAAACTTTGTTTTCATTTGTACACATAACCCCACAGGCCATTAAAATGGCTCTACAGGTAAACGTGCTTTCCTCCTGGCCTGACCACCCAAGTTCAAACCCCAGGACCCACATGGTAGAGGGAGGAAACCGATCCCTGCAAATTTTCTTCATGGATCCCAGGCTGTTCTCCAGCTCCCAATCTTCTTGCCTCTCTCTGCCTACTGTGCCCAGCTTTACAGGTAACTATTGCAATTGTGCTCCAGAATCTGCGGTGTAGCTCAGCAGGGATTGTCTAGCATACACAAGGCCACAGGTTCTAGTTCCAGCACTGCATAAAGTGGGTGTGGAGTTCAGGCCTGTGATCCCAGAATTCAGAAAGTAGAGGCAGATTAATCAGGAGTTTGAGGTTAGGGACTAGAGGGCTGCCTCCATGGTTAAGAGTGCTGACTGCAAGCCAGGCAGTGGTGGCGCACACCTTTAATCCCAGCACTCAGGGGACAGGCATGCGGATCTCTGTGAGTTCCAGTACAGCCTCCAAAAACAATACAGAGAAACCCTGTCTCGAAGAAAACCAATTAAAAAATGTATTTTGAGAAAAATAGAATTTTTTTTTGTTTTTCAAGACAGGGTTTCTCTGTGGCTTTGGAGGCTGTCCTGGAACTCACTTGGTAGTCCAGGCTGGTCTCAAACTCACAGAGATCCGCCTGCCTCTGCCTCCCGAGTGCTGGGATTAAAGGCGTGCGCCACCAACGCCCGGCTGAGAAAAATAGAATTTAATGTCATTCTTGGCTACATAGAGTTTGATGCCTGCCTGAACCATGAGACCCTGTATCAGACAAGATGGAGGCAAGGCCTAGTAGAACCAAGCCTGGCCTCTCTCCCATGCTTGCTCTGTGGCACAAGAGCACACAACAAGATACAAATAAACCATGGCAGCCAAGAGTTCTAGGACAGCCTCCAAAGCCACAGAGAAACCCTGTCTAGATAGAGATGGATTTAGATGGATAGATGGACAGAATAGATGGAAGGACTAATGGACAGAGACAGACAGCCCACAGTCATCTGAGAGAACCACCAGAATTTAAAAGTTTCACAGGTAAGACTGGCTTGTGGCCGTGTCTGTGGGACTGTCCTGACGCAGGACTGATGAGGGAGGACCGAGTCTCTGAGCAGCACTACCTCTAGGCAAGAGATGCCGGGTCGTATGAAAAACCTAGCTAGGGGCTGAGGAGATGACTTTGTGCTTAAGAGCACCCAGTGTCCTTACTGAAGACCAAAACTTGATTCCCAGCCCCAGAAAGGTCGGTGCTGTCTATAACTGCAGGTCTGCAAAATATACTACCTCAGGCACCTGCACTCACAGCACACACATGCACAGTTTAAAATGAAAATAAGCTGAGCATGGCGGCGCACGCCTTTAACTCCAGCACTCAGGCGGTCTACAGAGCGAGTTCCAAGACAGCCAGGACTGTTATACAAAGAAACTCTGTCTTGAAAAATTAATAATAAATCTTAAAGCAAAATAGCTCACTAAGCATGAGACTACAAGCAAGCCAATGAGCAGCGTTCACCCATGGCTTTTGCTCCTGCCTTGACTTCCCTCAGTGATCATCTGTGACCTGGAAGTATACACCCACTCAAAATGAACGCTTTCCTCCTCAACTTGCTCGGGTCACACAGCACAGAAAGAAACACCAACAGATGGATGGATGGCTTTTATCAAAACCACATCAGGAGGGAACAAGTCAAGTCCAGGGCTGAGCAACAAAGCTACATTCAAGCCGGGTGTTGGTGGTGCACGCCTTTAATCCCAGCATTCGGGAGGCAGAGGCAGGCGGATCTCTGTGAGTTCGAAGCTGGGCTGGTTTACAGAGTGGGAGTAAGTTCCAGGCCAGCCTAGACTATGTAGGACTGTCTCAAAACGAAGACAAAAAATAAAATAAATTATACAGACGAGGAAAAAGGGGTCTAAAGCATCCCTACCTCATGTTGTTGCCACCATTATTTCATTAAATTCAGTTTGTTACTAAGAACAGTAACAATTGGGTTTGCCAGCACTCAGGAGGCAGAAACAGGCAGATCTCTGTGTACCTGAGGTCAGCCTGATCTAAATCTACATACATACATACATACAAAATAAAAACAACTACATATCCAGCACTGTGTTTATACTTACATACATACATACATACATACATACATACATACATACAAAACAAAAACAAATCAAAAAGAACAACTCCATATCCAGCACTGTGTTTATACTACCGGTATCAAGAGTCAGAAATGGAAACAGGTTCTTACCGAGAAGCCCAAGCAAGCCTGGAACCAGCAACAATCTTCCCGCTAAGCAGCCAACACATGCATTTTTTATGTATTTGTTTTGTTCTGTTCTGTATGCTGTGCTGGGGGTCTAGCCCAGGACATCGGCAAACCACCGCAGTAAACATGCCCAACACAGGACCTATTCGTTATCCTTATTTTAGTCGGGTGAATGAGTCCAAACTCAGATTTCCCAACCCACACCGGACGCGAGGCCCTGAGGCTACAGGTACAGGGGGCTCTGCCCCAAGGTTCTCTTACCCAGAGCGTTCTGGATCTGCACGGACCTCTCTGGGCTCAAAAGTGTCTCCTCGCCGTCGTAGGGCGAGCGGAAGCGGACGCCCTCCTCAGTCACCTCGGACAGGGAGAACAGGGACACCATCTGGAAGCCGCCGCTATCCTGGTGGGGAACCCCGCCGCGAAGCGGTCAGGAGATGGTGTCTGGGGACCTCTCACCCCTTCGCAACGCCCAAGGGCGGCGGCCCCGACTCACCGTGAGCAGATTGTGGGGCCAACTCATGAAGCCGTGGAGACCCCGGGCCTTCTGGATGAGCTCCGGGCCCTGGGGAAGAAAGGCCACGTTAGGCGGAGCCCGCAGCCCCCTGGCCAGGCCCGCGGGAGCCCGCGCGCGGCCGAGTCCCGGGGGGCCGAGCCCGAGCCCGGGTCGCACGCACCCACCGGCCTCAGCCCCAGGTGGTAGGTGTTGCCCAAGCAGATGCGGCACCCCAGGCCGTCCAGCTGCTCCGCCGTGATGCCCTTCATGGTGGCCTGCGTCCCCACAGGCATGAACACAGGGGTAGCCACGGTCCCATGCGGCAGCCGCAGCTCCCCCGCCCGAGCCCTCGAACGACCGCATTCGGCCACCAGCCGCAAGATCCGTGGCGCGGACTCGAGAGAAGCCGGGCTGCCTGCCGCCGCCATTTCCGGAGCCGGAACCACGTGGGCTGAGACCACAGCAGACGACGCCGGAGTGCCGTCGATCACGTGACCCGAGAGCGGCGGGGAACCATGGCAACCGACGCCTGCACCGCCTCGCCCTGGGGCGGCCGCTTTTGCTCACTAATGAAAACCGCTCGAAGGCCCTTAGCCTTGGCTCGGTGAGTGAAGATACGTGCAGCTGTGTCGGATGACCTGAGTTTACTGTGTGGGATCCACAAGAATCGGAACGGATTCCCGCAAACTCGTGTGGGCAGACACACAATAAATGCAATTTTAAAACATACGTGTTTTTTTCTACTGTATAAAATATAGCGCCTTGAAGCCGGGCGTTGGTGGCGCACGCCTTTAATCCCAGCACTTGGGAGGCAGAGGCAGGCAGACCTCTGTGAGTTCGAGGCCAGCCTGGTCTACAAGAGCTAGTTCCAGGACAGCCTCCAAAGCCACAGAGAAACCTTGTCTCGAAAAACCAAAATAAAAAAAAAAAGAAAGAAAGAAAGAAAGAAAAAAATATATAGCGCCTCGATACGATGATTTACCAGGAATCCCAGGATTTGAGAGGCTTAGCAAACAGAACCAACACTGCAGTGAGTTTCTGGTCAGGTTGGGCTACCAAGAGAACCAATCTCAACAACAAAACCTTGAGTAGGGCCTGTTGTTGCACGCTGAGAAGATAGAATAGCCTGGTCTACACAGCAAGCTCCAGGACACTTAGGGCTACATTGTGAGCTATCTCAAAAAAAAAAAACACAAAAAACAAAAAAAAGGGTGGAAGAAAGGAGCAGGGAGGGAAGGAAGGAGAGAGGAAAACGGGGAAAAAGGCATTGTAGAGCACCCTGCAATCCCAGCACTTGGTAAAGGCAAGAGAGTTAGGAGTTCAAAACCATCCCCAGCTATAAAGTAATTTCAAGCCCAGCCTCAAAAAGCAAAATAGGGTCCGGTGGTGGTGGCGCACACCTTTAATCCCAGCACTTGGGAGGCAGAGGCAGGAGGATCTCTGAGTCTGAGACCAACCTGGTTTACAAGAGCTAGTTCCAGGACACCCCCAAAGTCACAGAGAAACCCTGTCTTGAAGAAAAAAAAAAAAAAGCAAAACGGGCTGGAGAGATGGCTCAGCAGTTAAGAGCATTTGGTTTGAGGTTTTTGTTGTTTTTGTTTTGATTGTTTGTTTTTTGAGACAGGGTTTCTCTGTGGCTTTGGAGGCTGTCCTGGAACTTGCTCTATAGACCAGGCTGGCCTCAAACTCAAAGAGATCCGCCTGCCTCTGCCTCCTGAGTGCTGGGATTAAAGGTGTTTACCACTAACACCCTGTGCATCTGTTGCTCTTGCAGAGGATGTGGGTTCAATTCCCAGCCACACTACCAGACAGATAGGTGCTGTTCATGCATACATGTAAGCAAAATACTTACACACACACACACACCCTTCAGAATTTTTTTTTTTTTTTGGTTTTTCGAGACAAGGGTTTCTCTGTGGCTTTGGAGGCTGTCCTGGAACTCGCTTGGTAGTCCAGGCTGGTCTCGAACTCACAGAGATCTGCCTGCCTCTGCCTCCCGAGTGCTGGGATTAAAGGCGTGTGCCACCAACGCCCGGCCACCCTTCAGAATTTTAAGTAAAATAAAAGCTTTCTGGCTGGTGTGCTCTGGGTTCTGTCCCCAGAACACATACTCACATACATGCAGACAGACACAGCATGAGAATGGATATATTTCTGTACCTGTATTTCATACATGTAGTCCCTAACTAGCCTGTCATATTGTGTTCATTCATTCCTTTTTTTTTTTTCTTGCTTGTTTTATTTTGCTTTTCGAGACGTGACTTCCCCTTGTAGTTTTGGAGGCTGTCCTGAACTAGTTCTTGTAGACCAGGCTGGTCTCAAACTCAGAGATCCACCTGCCTCTGCCTTCCAAGTGCTGGGATTAAAGGCGTGCGCCACCAACACTCAACTGTTGTTTTATTTTTCAAGACAGGGTTTCTTTGTGTAGCCCTGACTGTCCTGAAACTCACTCGGTTGAGACTGGTCTCAAATTCACAGAGATATGACTGGCAATGTCTCCCAAGTACTGGGATTACAGGTGTTCGTTCATTCATTCATTCATTCATTCATTCATTCATTCAAGAGTTTAGAACAGGACACAGCCATCAGCCATTTTTTCAAAGGAATCCTAGCATTACAAAAAGAACCCTAAGGTCCAGAAACTCATCCTCCACCATTGCTTTATTCACTCGGTGTGAGTGTGTGTGCATGCTCATGTGTCCCCCAGGTCAGCCCTCTTCCCAGACAGGAATAAAACCAGGTGAGTTAATGTCAACATAAAGCAGATCTGTCCCTTCTGCCAGCAGAGGGCGGCACCATCACACACTGCAAAGGGCAGGGCTACTTACCCTATGATAAAGGCCAAAGGACTAGTTTCCAGAGGTTGTGGGGATGCCTCAGAACACCAAAGGTGAGGTGTCACTCAGTGATACAGTACCTGCCCAGCGTATCCAAGGCCCCTGTGCTCACATAAGAGCAGATACCAAAGGATGTCCGAAGTCCTGCTCAGTTACTCTCTACTCTGAAAAGTTGCTCTTTTCAGACAGCCCACTGAACCTGAGACTACTGTCAGGCAGCAAGCCTCACTGAGCCTCATGTCCACATTTGCCCAACCCCCAATGCTGGTGTTACAGGTCATTGCCATTCTTACATTTTATGTGTGTGAGTGTACACATGTACCCACACACTTGCCATAGCACTATTGTGGAGGTCACTTCCAAGAATCTGTACTCTCCTCATATGGGTCCCAAGAAGTCAAATTCAGATAGTCATCGTAATGTACTGATCCATCTCCCTAATCCCCAGACCAGTTATTTAAAAAAAAAACTTACAAAGATCCATTTGTCTTTTTCTCCCAAATGTTGGGATTAAAGACATGCACCACCACTGCCTGGTTTAAAAATTTTATATGTGCCGGATGGTGGCGGCGCACGCTTTTAGTCCCAGCACTCGGGAGGCAGAGGCAGGCAGATCTCTGTGAGTTCAAGGCCCAGCTGGACCGACAGCCTCCAAAACAATAGAGAAACCCTGTCTCATAAAACCAAAAAGAAAAAAAATTATATGTATGTGTTTTACAGAAATTCAGTACATGAACATCTGTGTACTGAATGCAAGCTCTGACTCCAGAGGGCGACAGGTGGACTCCTGGAACTGGGGTTGCAATTGTGAGCTACCATGGGGTTAATGGGCCTAGTACCTGCTGAACCAGCTCTCCATTCCTGTATTGGTTGGTTTTTTTGTTTTTGAAACAAGACAAGCTCTCACATTGTTCATGCTGACCTCAAATTCACTATGAAGCCGAGGCTGATCCTTTTGCTTTCGTGTGTCTGTGTGTCATGTGTGTAGGCAGAGTTTCTCTGTGTAGCTCTGGCTGTCCTGGAACTCACTCTGTAAGCCAGGCTGGCCTCAAGAAATCACTAAATAAAGGAATGCACCACAAACACCCAGGTTGCCTTCATCTTTTAAATGCTGGGACAACCACCATACCTGGCAGTTTTGGTTTTGGTTTAGCTTGAGACAGGGTTGTAATCTGTAGAAGACTAGGCTGCTCTGGAAATATGTAGTCCAGCCTGACCTCTCACTGCAATTTCCCTGCCTGCCCCAGCCTCCAAGTGTTAGAATTATAGGTGTGAGCCGCCACAGACACTTCTTTTTGTTGTTGTTGTTGTTTTCAAGACAGGATTTCTCTGCAGCTTTGGAGGCTGTCCTGGAACTAGCTCTTTTAGACCAGGCTGGTCTCGAACTCACAGAGATCCTCCTGCCTCTGCCTCCCGAGTGCTGGCATTAAAGGCGTGCACCACCACTGCCCGCAAACACAGCCACTTTCAACGTTCACCTTTATTGACACGGTCTCACCATGTAGCCTTCCCTGGCTGTACTTGAACTGCCTCTGCCTCCTGGGTGCTAGGATTACAAGCACATGTCACCACACCCAGCTCCCTGTGCCAGAGCACAAAGGATCTGCCTTGTTCACAGTTAATAGGATTACAGACGAACATCATTGCCATGGTCTTGTATGAGCTGGGGTCAACTTAGTGTCTTGCTATTGGTTGGAAAGTTTTATAGACTGATCTTTCTTCCCAGCCCCTGGAAAGGTGACAATTTTATGAAGGATGAACAGAGTGGACTTCTCTAGGGTCCAGATTTTTATTCCTCTTCTTCTTCCTTTAGATAGTGGTGGCTTTTTTTTGTTGTTGTTGGGGTGGTGGTGGCTTTTGGGTTTTTTTTATTTGTTTGTTTGTTTTGATTTAATGAGACAGGGTTTCTCTGTGTAGCCCTGGGTTTCCTATTACTCAATCTGTAGACCAGGCTGGCCTCAAACTCAGAGATCCACCTGCCTCTGCCTCCAGAGTGCTGGGATTAAAGGCGTGCGCCACCACCCCTTGCTTTTTCTTGTTGCAGTTTAATGGCGCTATGCCGGGCTTACATGGTTTTGTAGCACACACTAGCCTCAAGATTTTTGAGCTCACTTATTCCTTAGCCTCCCACGGTCCAGAAACAAGGAATGAGCCTGGTGAATTAAGACTTGAATGGTGACTGGGTGTTGGTGGGGCACGCCTTTAATTCCAGCACTGGGGAGGGAGAGGCAGGTGGATCTCTGTGAGTTCAATGCCTGCATGGTCTACACACGTTCCAAAGCTTCACAGAGAAACCGTATCTCAAAAAACCAGAAAGACCTGAAGGGTGGTTCAGTCAACAGACTGGCGAGTTCAGGCATCAGGGAGAAGGGAGTGCCAGGTGCTTGGGTGACGTTGGGTGGATGGTGGAACTGAGGGAATAGGATAGAGGGTCGGCAGGAAGGTGCAGGCTTTGCCATGGGGTAAGTAGGCAAGGAAAGGGAATGGTGACTTAATTCCATCAGTGGGAAGGCTGGGGCTGCCCTGAGCCCTCCCCTGTAACTGACACCATGGGGCGCTCCGCTTCAGCACAAGGGACAGCGCCAGTGTGTTGCCTGGAGAATGGAGAAGCTGCTTCACAAGAGG